AAGCAGCAGCCACACAACGCACACAACCTTGCTCTCCTCCGCAAACCACGCTCGTGCAAGGGCAGAGGCCAACGGGAAAGCCAGCACCTCCCTCCTCCCGGCGCAGGTGCGAAGGGTGGGTTTTGCGCTTCTCAAGTGGCACAGGTGGGTCCGGTGTGTGGCGTCCCCTGACCACCGGAGTTTTGCTTTGTGTTGGCATCACTAACCCCACACACCGGCCTGTTAGCGGCTGCAACAGAAAGAGCCCCCACGAAGTCATGTGTCACCATGAATACGAAACTGACAGCATGTCACCATGAAGAGATTAGTAAGAACACACACCTGGAGAACCTGGCAGCCTGCCCAAAATCGAGTGTCCTCCACAGAGCAGCAGTGAATCCAGGCATGAGCACACTCCTGAACACATCTCCAACACCTCCATGTTCCTCTTACACTTGAATGACAAACACGAAATCCAAAGCCTTTCTTGCCACAAGACAGCAGACATCAGCACACAGCAAACAGAAACTGTGATTTTTTTTCCCACTCAAAGACCTGCTGACAAAACCCCCTGATCACAACAACTGGTTTTGATTCCAGCTGACTGCAGATTCCAAAACAGTTGCCCTCCAGCAAGCACAGAGGGCTGGTTCTGCACTCCCTCCCACAGACACGGATTAGCACAGCGCTTGCGTGTGGCCTGTGACATCCTCCTGTGGACTTGAAACACCTAATACGTTGCCAACACTGAGAATTAAACAACCAGTTATTTCAACCTGTACTGTGTGTCGTTCAGGTAATGACAGGAAAAGCAGTCTGCGTGTGCTCAATAGAGGCAGGATTGGTTTCAGCTGTGTACACGTGTGTGTGATGTGGATGTGTGGATGCGTGTGTGTTGTATGTGTGTATGTTCATGTGTGTGTACGTGTGTATGTTATGTGTGTATCTATGTGTGTATGTGTGTATGTGTGTATGTACATGTATATGTGTATATGTATGTGTGTGTTTATGTGTGTACGTATGTGTATGTGTGTATGCATGTGTGTATATATATGTACATATGTATGTGTGTATGTACGTGTGTATGCACATGTGTATCTATGTGTATCTATGTGTGTATGTATGTGTGTATGCATCTGTGTATGTACATGTGTATGTATGTGTGTATCTATGTGTATATGTATACGTATGTATGTATTTATATGGGTATGTATGTGTGTATATATATGTATGTATGTATGTGTGTATTTATGTGTATATACATGTGTATCTATGTGTGTATGCATGTATGTGTGTATGCATCTGTGTATGTACATGTGTATGTATGTGTGTATCTATGTGTGTATGTGTATATGTATGTATTTATATGTGTACATGTGTGTATGTGTGTATGTATATGTGGATGTATGTGTGTACATGTGTATATATATGTGTATGTATGTGTATATGAGTATGAATGTGTGTATGTATGTGTGTGTACATGTGTATGTATATGTGTATGTATGTGTATATGAGTATGAATGTATGTATGTATATGTGTATGTATGTGTGTGTACATGTGTATGTATGTGTATGTATGTATGAATGTATATGCGTATGTATGTGTGTACATATATGTGTATGTATGTGTATATACATATGTATGTATATGTGTATGTATATGTATGCATGTGTATGATGTGCTATGTGTGCAATGTCTCTGTGTGTTCACACAGGTAAGGCTGAGTGTGTGCGCGGCACTTGTGCGGGTCAGAGGGCATCTGCGTGTTGCTCTTCACTCTCCTCTGCCTGTTGCAGACTGGGCCTCCTCCACTCCCCACCATGCAGACCAGAGCTGGCCGAGGGGCCTCCAGGATTCCCAGCTCTGCCTCACACACACACAGGCACACGCCACTGCACCCAGCTTTACCACGCACAGGCACACGCCACTGCACCCAGCTTTACCACGCACAGGCACACGCCACTGCACCCAGCTTTACCACGCACAGGCACACGCCACTGCACCCAGCTTTACGCGGCCTCTTGGGGATTCAAACTCAGGTTCCCACACTTGCTCGTCATATGCTGGCCACTCCCTGGCCCACAACAGGGTCTTCAGGTTGGTGGTTGCATCCACAGATACAGACCACAGGCTCAGGAAGAATCCGTGCGCTTTGGGCATCTGAGACAGAGCTTCCGCTTCCTCATAAAGGGGCCACAAACCAGACTTCACACCCCAATCCACAGCCACCTCTGCTTTCCTTGCACACGCACACACACGCGCACACATTCACACGCACTCACACACATACACACTCACACATGTACACACTCACACATGCATGCACACACTCACACACATACACACATGTACACTCACACACTAACACACTCACACTCACATACACATTCGCTATCACATGTGTGCCCAAACACTCACATGTGAACGCGCACACATACTCTCACACACGCACACACGTGCACTCACATACACACGTGCACTCACACCAAGACACACACTCTCACACACGAACAATATACAGATGCTGTCATACTGTTATTATGGTGTCCAAACCAGAAGTGAAAACAGGGATCAAGGCTGAGAAGGGTCATGAGAGGGGAGTCAAGGAAGGGAGTCACGGTTCTGAGGTGAGGCCGCCTGAGGCAGGAGAGGTCCAGCTGAGCCCACACTCACCTCAGCAGCCAGCAGCAAGTACAGAGGTGTTAAGGCGGGAACTTGTCGCACATCACAGCTTAGGCCGAGGGTCGTCAGGATCTCCTTAAGGACCTCGTGCCTTCTCATGTTGCTGGATTTAAGCACGTTAAAGTCTTCTTGGGTTTGCACCACGGAGGCACTTGGAGGGAGTTCCAGGTGCACCTGAGGGCAAGACAACAGCAGTGAACCGTGGGCGCATGCACCAGAAAAGCAGTTTCTGCCCTGGGTCTGACGAGAATCTGAACATGACCCTTCTCCCATCACCTCCAAGCCCCATCATCGGCGAAACCCACCCCTGGGTGGTCACAGACTCTCACGGCGAAACCCACCCCTGGGTGGTCACAGACTCTCATGGCGAAACCCACCCCTGGGTGGTCACAGACTCGCCCTGGATCATGGCTTTTATCACCGGTCACGTGACATGGACTGAAACATTTGGAGACACAATTACCCACACTGCTGAGGCTAAGGAGTCACGACCACTCTGCCCTGCGGTCGGGAGGGGGACGCATTCATCACTGCAGACTGTTCACAGGACTTGGGACGGGGAGAAAGGACTTCCCAGACATCAGAAAGACCTTCCTGACCCCCCCGCCCCGCACCTGACTGAATTCTAAAGTTGGGGTCTTCCTACACATAGTCCAAGTGTTAAAGTGTGATCTAGGATACACACTGGAGGCCACACGAAGGCTATAAATATACAGACATCTCCAACAGCGTCCCGGGCGGGCGGGATGAAGGGCCACACCGGAACTTCCAGTTCCCACGGGAGCAGATTCTGACTGTGTGTGTCAGGGTCTGCAGGTGCCTGAACGTTCAGCAAGAGCAAGCGGCTGTGCTAAGTTTTATCCTGCTTTTCTGTACTGACTTTGCACCCGGCGCACTGGGAAGCTGAGACAACATGGTGCCACCCGCGGGGTCTCTCAACCACTCGCCTGAGCCAAGGCAGACACGTTGTCCAAATGCTGAACGCTGGGGCCATTCTGAACAGGCTGGAGGACGTGGTCAGGTGGTCGGCAGACAACGGGTGGGCCTGTCCCCCAGACGAGGGACAGACAGAGAAGGAAAAGATGCCAGCGAGAGTCCACACCCTGACCAATGGACCACGACACCACTGACCACGTCACCACTGACCACGTCGCCACTGACCACGTCGCCACTGACCACGTCACCATTGACCACGTCACCCACCTGAGCACATGCCGCCCTCTAGGCTAACCGACACAAGTGGCACGGATGGAATGAGCACGTTATGTTCCTACAGGAGCTCCAGGGAGAGAGGGAAGGACATGGCTGAGCGCACGTGGCCTCACCGGCTGGTATGGACACCAGGCGTTTGCGCGCTGCGCCGAGCTGATCTGCACGCAAGGAGAACGCACAGGGAAAAGGCTTCCACCAAGCTGCAATGGGCCAAAGAGGCCACCACGGAAGCTGGGGAGATGCTTTTACTCGCTGGGCCGGGGAGGGTAGCTCCGCATGCTTGAGACCCCGGGGGCTGCCCTCCCAACCAGAGACAAAACAGCACACCTGACGCTGCGCAGGGGGGGGGGGTCGGTAGCCCTGACGCAAGCCGCAGTCATTGGCTGGCAATGCTCATTTGTCCGCATCCTGGACCTGGCCTCTTCTAAGCTAAGGCTTCTCAACCAGACTGGAAGCCATCAGTAAAAACGTCTCTCGTGACAAATGCAGAGCGGGGTGGCTGGCGTCCAGTGGGCGGAGGCCAGGAATGCTGCTAAATGCCTGTAGTCTATATGACCACACCTCACCAACCAAGACTGACCTGACCCAAAGTGTCAACAGGGCACAGCTGAGAAACCCTTGCTATGAAACTTCCTCAGCTAAGCTGGGCAAACAAATGAGGTATCTTCAAACCCACTTTCAAGCTTTACTTGGGCGACTTCACACCAAAATCCAGGCCCATTTGGCAATCTTGGACTTGCTTGCCTTAATCCTCGGTTTAACGTTTTCCCGGAGTGCAATCTGCCCATCACCAGCCCACCCCCTCTTTCTGGTCACTGTGAACGAAAAGACAAGCAAGCAGCTCGCAGGGCTGGGATGCCCCCCCCCCCCGCCCAGGAAGCAGCTCACAAGGCTGGGATGCCCCCCCCCCCGCCCAGGAAGCAGCTCACAAGGCTGGGAGGCCCCCCCCCCCCGCCCAGGAAGCAGCTCGCAGGGCTGGGAGGCCCCCCCACCCGGCGCCCGGGAAGCAGCTCACAAGGCTGGGAGGCCCCCCCCGCCCAGGAAGCAGCTCACAAGGCTGGGAGGCCCCCCCACCCGGCGCCCGGGAAGCAGCTTGCAGGGCTGGGATCTCCCCCCCACCCCGCCCTGCTCCCCCACCCCGCCCCGCCCCGCGAGCAGTTGCACTCTGCCCTTGAAGTATTTGCCTTCTCTTACTGGGTTACAGCATCACTAGATTTATTACAAAGATGAAGGCTATGAAATTGAACAGAGGAGGAGGAAACTATGCAGCCTGTAATAACATCGACCTGTTGGTTCCAGCGAGGTGGTAACGCAACAGAGGCTGGGGGGGGGGGAAGGAAGCAGGGACCCTGCCACACAGGAGACTGAGGTCACTTAGAGCCAAAAGTGCCCATTCTAATCCTCTGACCGTGATTTGCGAACCTGCCTCAGACTGCCTCTCCCTCCTCCAACGGCAACATACTACAGTATCAAGTTTTATGACACAGTATGGGGTCAATTTAAACGGTGCAAACAGGCAGACGTGCCCCGGAGCTGAGAGAAATGGGTTGCAACGTGCCAAAGCAATTTTCTAGTACAAGTCCATGCACAGAAGTGAGAAAAAAAAAAAAAAAACTCTTCAAAACTGAAACACAGCTCCAGGAAGTGGGTTTTCAAGCAAAGGTTCTGAGATCTCGTGGTTACTATAGTGATCATGTTTGCAGAGGGGAAGATAAGAGGAGCATCTGACTAGCCCATGTGGTGCACAGCCTCACAGGAAACCTGCTGGCTCTCTGTGTGAACGCCAGCCCCAGTGCCCGGATGTTTGGGGCACCTTGGCCTGACCATGGGCTTAGTAAACAATAGGTTTCAGAACATAGGACCAGGGGTGGAAGGGCGGCCTGAGTGTGAGGACCTGTACCCCCAGAACCCACACAAAGCCAGACTCCGCCGCACGCCTCTATAACCCCAGCGCTCCCACAGAAAGACAGGAAGTGGAGACAGGGCAGTCCTGGGAAGCCTGCGGCCCAGGTACCCTGACACACGCAGGAACAAACAAGAGACTGTCAGACCCAAGGCAGAAAGCAAAGGTTGTGTCCATAGCTGGCCTCTGACATGTGCATACCTGCAGAGACAGACAGACAGAGACACACAGAGAGATTTGTTACATCTGTATGAATATTTGCGTGTCTGCATGTGTGTGCAGGCATGCAGTGCCTGTGGAGACCGGAAGACGGAGGCTGATGCCCTGGAAATGGAGTCACAGACAGTTGTGAACCACCATGTGGGAGCTGGGAATCAAGGCCGGGTCCTCTGGGAGAGCAGCCACTGCGGTTAACTGTTGAGTCATCTCTCCAGCCCTAAGCGCTTAGGTTTTAAATGTTAACAAATCCTAAGTAAACAAGAGAGGCTGTGAAGATCTGCCCAGCATTAAATGCATACAGACATGACCAAGAGCGTCACCTTTACATGATAGGGGCTGCTCTGGATTCCCTGCTAAGCCTCTGAACTTCCTGCGTTAAGCAAGGTCTTAATGATATTAACCAGGGTGTGCTTGGAGGCAAGAAAATAAATCATATGTTAGGAAGACTGCTACCAATAATGATTAAAATGAAAACGTTTCCTGGCTAGTCCTTGGTTAGCCTGAAGGGTTAGCCGACCTTGCCACCTCCTGCTTCCGCTCCTCAGTCACATGCAATTTGGTTGATCAGGGTTTGCATAAAAGTCCTCAAGCTAAGCCTTCCACACACAGCAGAAACTCAACCAAGAGTACAACTAACCACTGGCACCTGAATTATTGAATCCTTGTGTTTGTAAGTGTGGTGTGTGTGTGTGTGTGTGTGTGTGTGATGTGTGTGTGTGTGTGCTCTTGAGAACACATAAGCCTATGGGCGGAGCCCACAGGATAATCTCAGTTGCTATCCCTCAATGCTGTCCACCTTGGCTTTTGAGACAGAGCCTCTCACCGGCCTGGAACTGACAAGTAAGGCACGCTGGTTGTCCAAGAAGCCCCAGGGATCCACCTGTCCCCACCTGGCCAGCAGCTGGGTTACAGACACACACCACCACGCCTGGCTCTTTTCAGGTGGTTCTCACGCTGCTCTTCCCCGTCCCCATACCTGGCAGAGAACGGCCTCTCCTCCGAGGCTTCCAAAAGGCACGTGCACAATCATCTTGTCCTTGTCTGGGTTCTCTAGGTGGCCCTGGAGTTTGCCGGGACTGAGGCCTTGCTCATAAACACAGCCGCTGCTCAGGACACTAAGCCGTACCTCACTCCCATCGGCCTTTGAGAAAACCAAGTTCTGGGCTGTGTTCCGCAGTGTGTCCCTGCTTGTCACCTGAAAGCCACCACACGTGAAGGAGGAAGACAGGCCCAGCACCTTCCCTCCCTGAGAAAGATAGGCCATGAACTTCTGGTGTACGTCTTTGGGGATAGGTTCCCTGGTGGCAATAACCAACAGCAGGCAGTTGTCGGGCCACGGGTCCCTGAGAGCACTGTCTTCCGACAGGTGGTAGAGAGCATAGCTGTCAGTGTCCACACAGTCAGTCAGGACAGACCGCACCTGCTGGAGCCGGCCAGGGGCTTCCTCGGAACTGGAGCCCACGTACAGCAGGACGTTGGGCGCCTTTCCCAAAATGTTGCCTCTCCTCCGTTCCTGTTCAGAGCAGAGTTCACTGGTGGCGCCGTCCACAGGGCTGCTGTCATCACAGGGGAGGTCTGGAATGTTCTCTGCCGATGCAAACCTCACCGACTCGATGGTGCTGTTCTCAAGTTCCAGGCACTCGTGGCAGCTGGACAGGTGAAGCTGATGACACTCTGCTGAGCTCTGCCCGGGCTCGCCCCCTGCAGGCGGCGCACCTCCGGAGGCGCCACCTCTCTTGAGTAGGCAAGAGCCTCCAGCAGCCCTGGAGTCACCCTGGCCACAATGCTCCATGATGCCCTGCACGGGCTCGGCCTCAAGGGAAGGTTCTGGGCTCAGGGGCCGGGCTTGGACTTGCTTGGTGGAGGCCCCGTTGACTTCCTTCAGAGCCGGGTCCTTTAAATGAACTGCTGGAGCACCAAGGGAGAGGTCGTTAGTCAGCCCTACTGATGAGGGTCTCAACAGGCCAAAGCCTGTTTCCTGTCCACCCCGACCCCCGCACGTGTTAACCGTACACACGTCTACGGTGAGATCAAACCTGCCGGCTGGAACGGAAAGTAAGTGTGGTCCTAAGTCATGGCCCTGGGAAGTGACACCGGTCCTCTGGGAACCACGTGACACCCCATGGCAACACTTCCTGAAGTCACTTACAAACAATCTTCTGGGCTATCAGGCCATTATCCATCTGGAGCCTCTCCTCCATAAACGCCGCCCCCAGCTTGCTGAAGTTGTCCAAGCTCGCTCTGGCAATCAATTGGTAGGGATCCCCGGGCCGGCAGGCTAACGGCACACAGCAGTCAGACCATCTTACAACCTGAGGGAAGGGCAGGGGAGGGAGAAACAGAAGCCGAAAGTTTTCATTTCTCCAATGACCAGACACTTTACCCTCAGGCTACACCACAGCCTCACGGGCTGCATTGGTCCTCACACTATGTCACAGCCAGACAGGCGGCATCCAGCAAGTTACTAGATACTTCCTTTGATCAACGGCAAAGACGTTTGGGCTCAGACATCCTCAACCTGACCTAATAAGAGTGACTGGTTACAAAGCACTAAGCAGAGCTCAGATGTGGAGACACACGCTTCTCACACCACCTGCTGGAGGAGGCTGTGGCCTGAGGGTCTCAAGTTCAAAGACAACATAAGCCACACACCGAGATCCTCAAAATCCAAAGGGGAGAACTAAGGGATGGTTCTGTGGTTGGCTGCTTTCCCAGAGGACCTGGGTTCAGTTCCCTCTGTAACTCCAGGTCCAGGGAATCTATTGCCCTCTTCTGGCCTCTGTGGGCACCACACCCACGTGGTGCACAGTCATATGTGAAGGCAAAACACCCATACAGATAAAATTAAGTGTAAAAGCTAATAATAACATAACAATAAGTGTAACTTAGAAATAAATAAAGGTGACCAAAGTCTCAACTGCTTTAGGCAAAAGACACAGTCTCCAGACATGAGTAAAACCTAACTGCCCTCTTGGGAGGGGCCCAGGACAGGCGGCTCCCAATCACCCAGTAACATAAAGGAAACCTGCCCACCAGCTATTTTAGACAGCACATCAGACCCTCTCATCCACCCCAGAGTGCAACTGCCTATTGCTGCATTCCAGGAAAAGGAACCGTCAACCCCATTGTTGCATTCCAGGAAAAGGAACCATCAAACACATAGACAGTGGCAGGGACTGGAAAGACAGCGCGGACAGTTCACAAGCCTACCACTAGAGGGCGAGAGAAACAGCCTTCCAGTTTGGTTCTCAAAGAATTTCACAAAGGAGATGCGCGATGCCTGGGCTATTCCTGGGATTCCTGAGGATTCCTGAGGATTCCCAGCCAGCGGAGAAGAGGGTGCAGCTGAAGAGGAAGCCTGGCTGCAGAGTCCGGGAAGCCTGAGCCGGACTCAAGCTCTACTCAACGCCGCTCCCGGGCCCTGTGCAAGAATCTGCACCTCTCAACGCCCTCTTTGTAAAGAAGGAAAAAGGATAGTGTTACTGCTCATCGCCTCAGGTCTGTGTGGCAGGGAGACTACATAGAGTGCTTAATGCCCCTAACGGGGACGGGAGCCGTGCTGGAGAAAGTCACCCCAAGAGCACTCTGGCTGTTTCCGAGGACCCGAGTTCAGTTCCCAGTACCTGGGATCCAACCCCCTCTTCAGGTCTGATACACATATTCATAAATAATAAATCCAATCTCTTATGATGGTAATAATAAAAGGAGTAAACCTTTAGCTAATGTCCTCAGTTAGTGCGAGCTGTTTCTACAGCAACAAGGAGCGAGGCAGCCTCCGATGAGTCCTCCACGCCCCCAAAATGTCCGCAAGGGCAGACGGGCCCCCGCAGTTCACAACCAGGGGTACAGAATTCTGGACTCCAACTTCTAAGTTGAGGGGATAGGTTTTTAGAAAAAATTTCCCCCTGTAAACCCACAAAAAGAAGACACTGCTGGAATAACCAGAAATTGAAACGGAGAAGGATGAAGATGGGCATCTGCCTCAGGCCACTACCCAAGACCTCCTCTTCAAAACATAAGTCCTCAGAAGGAACAGGTGCAGACTGTCAGAACCCAGGATCAAGGAACAGTTTCTCAGATATGAAACTAAAAGTATAGGCAACGTAAGAAAAAAAAAAAGATCAGGGGCTGGAGAGATGGCTCAGGCGTTAAGAGCACTGCCTGCTCTTCCAGAGGACCCGGGTTCAGTTCCCAGCACCCACACGGCAGCTCGAGACTGTCTGCGACTCCAGTTCCCGGGGACCTGACACCTTCACACTAATGCACACAAAAGGAAATAAATTAAAGAGAAAAAAAAGGTAAACCGGAAGTCGCCAATGCTTTTTGTACGTCAAAGAGCATTATGGTGGGGGAAGTATCTGCAAATCACGCGACAAACTCCCACAACCCACAGTGACAAAGTGAGCGATACATTCTTACCGCGAGCAGAGTGGAATTTAATTGTATTACTCCCCAGAAAATTATAATATTCAAATGGCCAACAACAAAGCAAATGCATAACCAAGCTGCAGAGGGATACCACCTCTGCGCCCACTGGGCTGGCTAGCGTAAGGACAGGGACAAGCACCTCGGGTTGAGGATGAGAGGAAACTGTAAATCCCCAGCCAGCAAGAGGGCTCAGCAGGTAAAGGCAATGGCCACCAAGCCTTACTGGTAACCTGACTTCAGTCCCCAGAACCCACAGGTGGACGGAGAGAACCGACGCCGGCAAGTCAGCCTCCGGCCTCCGACTCCCACCTGCGCGTGCTCCATGGAACGTTTCTACACTCGCACACGCTCACACACAGGTGCTCACACACAGGTGCACACACACAGAAAAAATGTAACAAAACAAAATTTTAAGAAACTGGAATTTGCTGATGGAGATGCAAAACGGCTCAGCGGCTTCAGAAAAAAAAAATCTGAGGGTTCTTCAAAGAGTTTAGACATTGAGTAACCACACGACCAAGCAATTCCACTTGCGTGTGTATGGAAGAGAATGAAAAACAAGTGCCACACACACCCTGTACATAAATGTTCACAGTACTGTACATAATCCCCTAAACCAAAAAACAAACAAACAAAAAAATACCCTGTGACTGACTAAAATGTACTAATACATGACAACACAGATGACTCATGAACAGCTGTGAATGTATCAGAAACTATGTAACTGAATTGTATATATTAGGAGAGGAAGTCTTATGACACGTAAATTACATAGCAACTTTTTAAAAGGATTTATTATTTTTATTTATGTGTCTGTGTGTGTGTCCGTACACATGCACACCGCTGCCATCAGACACCAGCAGAGGGCGTCAGATCTCCGTGGGGCTGCAGTTACAGGTGGTCAAAGCTGCCCTGTGTAGGTGCTAGGAACGCAAATTCAGTCCCGTGCAGAAAAGCTCAAGAGTTTTGTTTTTTGTTTTTTGTTTTTCGAGACAGGGTTTCTCTGTATTGTCTTGGAGACTGTCCTGGAACTAGCTCTGTAGACCAGGCTGGCCTCGAACTCACAGAGATCCGCCTGCCTATGCCTCCCGAGTGCTGGGATTAAAGGTGTGCGCCACCAACGCCCGGCCGAGCTCAAGAGTTTTAACACAGTTTTAACTGCCTCTCCAGTCCCATACACCAATCCTTTCAGGAAGCCAGCTGCCTAGTTCCCTGTCTCTGGGACACTGGAGCTCCGGCAAACTAAGCTGAGCATGTCTGATCTTCTCTGCACTGACATCCTGTCTAAATGTCGGGTAGGATGAAAGCGCCTACCTAGAAGCTACCGGGGAATTTAAATGAGACGCCTGAAAGAGTCAGATGCACACCGGTGCTCCGGTTATCCCAAAACATGAAGTCCTCAGAGCAGTTTCTCATAACACAAAACAGGGAGGCGTAGAAAGTGAGAGTCGGATATTACAGCCGTTCCTGGCCTCCAACTCAACCTACCACATGAAATTTTATTCCTTAGTAGTCTTAGAACTTAAATTGAACTGAGTTTTTCCTTAGAGAAACAAAGGAGAAAAATAGAAGTTAACAGGCGCTGTTAAAAGACATAGCAGGAACAGTCATAAATACAGGGCTCTGGTCAGTAACTGGCAGAGCATGTGCAGAAAGAGAAACTCAAGAATTCTCTTTTACATAAACTGAGACCTTCCCTCCTCCTTATCACCTAATTCCCTGGTCTCCTGAACACAGCTCACATGTGGGCTTCATGCCCCATACACAGAGCCCAGGCCCAGCCTTTACACACACACATACACATACACACACACACACACACACACACACAAAGCCCACACAGACTTCATCCAGAAGGTGTCAGCTGTGCAGTGTATAGCAGAATTCCATATTTCAAAATTGACTTCTTCGTTGGACATGATGACTCATGTCTGTAATCCTAATACTTAGGAAGCTGAGGCAGGAGGATTGCCCTGAGTTCAAGGCCTATTAGAGCCACAGAGTGAGACCCTGTCTTCAGAATTTTTTAAACTGCAAATGCATCTACACACACACACACATACGCACACGCAAACGTACAGGCACATGTGCACGTGAGCATGCATGCACGCACTCACACACGCCACACGCATACATGAGAAAAAGAAGGAAACAAATAAAAACGCATAAAACCCTGATCAATCGGATGCCAGTACGGCAGTTGAAGCAGGCCTGCACTGTGCTGATGCGGGCCAGGGTGTCTGTGGAGGAGAACGGGAGGGATTGCTAACACCCAGGCAAGGGCAGGCTTTTCAGATGAGGGTGGGCAGGAGCCCGGCAAAGGACCAGAGCCAAGGAGCCCTGGCCCCTGAGTGGGGGGGCCAACAGCATCATGGGTGTCAGCTGCAGACAGCGGGAAGTGCTCAGCCAACCGGGCTGCCCCAACCGCCTCTGCACCCGCCCGCTAGCATCAGGTAAAAGGAGCCAGTGGTTAAAATTCTCACACAGATCAGAAGGGGGGAGAGAGACCTGGGGAGCAAAGGAAGAAGGAGGAACAGGGAACGGCCACAGAACAGTACACACATGTCCCCAATCAAGCCTCCCAACTGTTCCCTCACCTACACATACTTCCTCTCTCTAGGAACAAGGTCTGTGAGCCACGGGACACAGAAACTCCTTTGAGGAGTGCAGGGGGCCTGGATCAAAGCCTCTGTCACTGATACTGGGGTGGGGGTGGGGTGGTGGGTGTCACCTTCCGGTCAATAAAAGCAAACAGGGAGATAGAGACAAAGGGGCAGAGGAGAAAGGGGAAGCCAAGGAAAAGGCTGACCCCCCCTCCCCAAAGATCAAAACCGAGGAAGCCAAGGCTGGTGTGAGCCCAGAATTCCCTCTGGCACCCGCCACAGACAGATTATCTCACCCGATCACCAAAGCTCTGAACGCCTTTGTCATGGCTTACGATGCAAGGATTCCCTATGGTACTCCACTTAAAACTCCGCTCCCAGAGGCACAGAGATAGCAGCAGCCGCTCATTCGGCAGAAGCCCCTACAAGCTGTCCAACTGCACGATTGATACCGTGCTCATTTCTATGATGAGTCATCTGTCTGCCTCCTAACCAACCGAAAGTGCCTGCTGGGTTCCTCAAAGTTCTGGTTAGCAGGGACGGTGGTGAATGCGTGGAATCCTCAACACCGGGGAGGCAGAAAGAGAAACACTAGTTCGGGGCCAGCCTGGGCTGTGTGCTGAGACCCCCACGTCTCAAAACTTAACAGCTGGGCATGGCGGTACACACCTGTAATTCCAGCACTGGGTAGGCTGAGGCCTCAGTTATAGAGCAAGACTGAGTCTCAATAACATGAACAGAAAAAAAAGCAAAACAAAAGATTCCAGTAACAGATTAGAGGATGGGGGTGAACACAGAGCATGGCAGGGAGTCGGAATCTGTGGTGCAGGTTACTCAAGACTGTTATCCCCGCTGCCTTTCGGGCTCGGGAACCATGTGAGACATGGGTGCAGACACGGAATGTCCTCCCCAGGCTCCCTCACTGAACACTTGGTCCTCAGCTGCTGACACTACTTTGAAGCTGGTGGTGGTGGTGGTGGTTTTTCAAGACAGGGTTTCTCTGTATTTGGACGCTGACAGGAATGTGTGTCAGAGGCTGTTTGCCTGACCATAGACAGAGAGAAGCAGGGATGGCGGCAGAGGGGTCTGAGACAAGACAGGACCCCGGAGGACCTACCCCAGTGACCCACAATTTGATCCTACCTTCTAAAATTTCCACAACACGGATGCTGAACCACAGCTATTGCAAGCACACATGCCACATTGCTACAGAGCTGGCTGCAGGAACCTTCCCTCTGCTGAGTCACTGTAACCTCTGCTCAGGAACCTTCCTTCCTCTGCTGAGCAGCTGTAACCTCTGCTCAGGAACCCTCCCTCTGCTGAGGGGCTGTAAATTCTACACTGGAACCTTCCCCCTGCTGAGTCACTGTAACCTCTACACAGGAACCTTCCCTCTGCTGAGTGGCTGTAACCTCTACACTGGAACCTTCCCTCTGCTGAGGGGCTGTAACCTCTACACTGGAACCTTCCCCCTGCTGAGTCACTGTAACCTCTACACAGGAACCTTCCCACTGCTGAGCGGCTGTAACCTCTACACTGGAACCTTCCCTCTGCTGAGGGGCTGTAACCTCTGCTCAGGCCCTCGTACTCATGGGAGGTAGGAAAGGCAGATGAAGCAGAGGAAGGGACAAGATGCTGGAAAACTGTACAGCCTGTTGTCCCAAACTGTGGTCCTTCCATCCCGCGGGCATCTGACAACCGAACCTGAAATCTTATGTGCTAACTCCCACATGCACACGTCTATACAGCCAATCAATCACTGTAAAGGAAACAAGAAAAAAAAAGCCTATATAAAGTAAAAAGAGAGAGACTGGGGAAATGGTTTGACCGGCTGCACGCTTGCTGTGTTTGCAGAGAACCTGAGGATGACCAAGTTACAACCCATGCCAGCTAGCGCTCCTTCAAACACATTGGGAAGGCGGAGACCCGCAGACTGCTGAGCCTCAGGTCCTGGTTCCAGACTGTCTCAGACACAAGGTGGATAGAAACTAAACACACACACACGTGCAAACACATACAACACATCCATGTACACGCACAGGCAAAGAAACAGACAACAGTAACTTCACTAGCATAGTTTACATGACTCAATATATCCCAAAAGGAAGACACCCATAAAGTCCAGGAAAGAACATTCATTAAAAAAACACAAACATAAAACAAACAAACAAACACTCAGGTTGTCCTAGGTCACACCTTAAGGTACACAAGTAGAACATGGCACTCACTGTTTCTGAAGACGATGGCTTCTGGAAACTGTCACCTTGTGCCCAGATGCTCTCTGTCACAAATGCTATATGTTCTGCCTCAAGTATGAAGGGAGAGACAAGAAACAGGACCCATTTGTTCAAGTCTTCAATAGACTACAAAGAAAGAAAGGAATACGGGATTCAAGGTCATTTCGGACCACTCATCTCCGCATCCTGGCATGCCCTCCCCTTGCTTCCTCAGGTAAGAGCTGCCCAAGCGTCTGCGACACTCTGCAGACCCTTCAACCTCCCCCTTTGTCCAACTGTGGTGACTTAAACAGCTGTCTGGCTCATGAGAATTTCCAAGTCTCTGGATATTTGTTTCCATGCAGGTAATTCTGACGGTCTTTCTGTTTAACATGTATGAGTCACACATTTCAGGGTGAGGCTTGGAAGTGCTTGCCTGAAAGTCACATAATCGTCAAACTCAGAGACAAACTACTTCAGAGAAGTCCTTTCTGATGCAGACACTTTTGAGGAAATGTGCGTCCCCAGTGGAGAATTCGGTGAGGTCTGTAAGGGCGGATTAAACACAAGACTGGCCCTTTTTACACATTCAAACGAAAAAGTAATTGTCCTCCATACAAGAAAAAAAAAACTCACTTTTGTTGTTGTGTTAATCCCTAAAGTACGCTGTGTAATAGTCATTTCCACAGCCTTTGCCCTGTCTCAGGAGTGGGAGACCTGGAGAGGATTCAAACACCATGAGGACCCACATGCAGAGCAACGATCATGTCACTTTATACGGGGACTGGCCATCCTCAGGTGCGGGCAGCTTGTTTTGGTGAGCGTCTACCTTGAAAATTCATTTCCTTTATTTTCAGATTTCTGGAGGACTGTAATTTGATTTTAAGAGGTTTTTGTCTGCAGAGTGGTGGTGGTGCCCACCTTTAATCCCGGCACTCGGGAGGCAGAGGCAGGAGGATCTCTTGAGTCAGAGGCCAGCCTGGTCTATAGAGCGAGTTCCAGGGCTACACATCCCTGTCTGGGTTGCAGGGGGTGGGGGAGATACTCAGAGATACCCAGAGCAGAAAAAGCAGAACTCTAAGGCTGCCTTCTGGCAGTCACAGCCTTGAATCCAAAAACAGACAGCAGTGAGGTGTGAGCAAAACTCAAGGCGACAGGAGCGACATCGGGAGCAGGTATCCGCAAGGCTGTCCCTACTTGGGTTCTGAAGCAGGTAAGAGCCAAGTCACTAGGTTAGCATAGTTACCAGGCCCAGGAGGACAGGGAAACGTTCAAAGGTGTCTAGGAAAACTTATCTGGCAAAATCTCTACTCCGACATAAACCGTAAAGATTTTGTGTTAAATAAATAGCTTAGAAACCACCACAGTGGGGGGAAAAAACACCCTCACTAGCTTTTCAGTTCTGTGATCCGCCCCTCAAGCAGTTTAAGAGAATGTAGCACACCTGTCTCGTTCCGGGTGGTACTAGGGGCGGCCAGGCAACCAATCTTAGCCATGAACTTAGTGCTAGTCACGGCCAGGCAACGGGAAACCTGGGAAAACTCAGTGTGCTGTTCATGCCGTATTTTTCTTTGTATTTACTTAACTTCATGCGCACAGGTGTGTGGCCCCCGTGTGTGCCTACACCACCCGCATTCCTTGGACTCCCTGGACCGGTTATAACCCACCACGTGGGGGGCTGGGGACTGGACGCCGGTGACTCCCGAGAGAGGTGGGCTATCTGCAACCCCAGAGCTGAGTTTTGTTTTGTGTTTTAGTTTTTGCTAATTCCCCGGAAGCACAATTCACACCCCACACCTAAGCAGTGTGGCTAAAACCTCCACCCTCAAGTCGTGCGTGACTCTCACACGGGTGTCAGGGCCTGGCGTCCACGAGAGGAAAAACTCTCGCTTCCAGGGCTAGGAGGGAAGCGGAAAGGGCAAAAGGCCGCTTGGAGAAAAGACCAACGCTGCGCGCCCGACGTCCGCGAAAACAAGGGATGCCCAGCAGCCGCAGCCTGCAGCCGGCCCGTGCAAACGGCCATCGCCCTCCGCCCTGGACCGGGAGCCAGCCCGCGGGAACCGGCTGGGGAGTCCCGGGTGTCCCCGCTGCAGCAGCAGCAGCAGCAGCAGCCGCGGGGCGGCGGGCGGGGCTGCCCAGGCCGCGGTGCAGGCGAGCCGAGGCTCTCGCCCGCCTTGCCCGCCGAGCGGGGGGGGGGGGGAGCCGACGCTGCCGCGCGCGCCCGGTCCCCGCGGCGCCCCCGGCTCGCTCGCCCGCCGCCCACCTGGCTCTCGCCGACGCAGAAGACGCGGCCGCCGCGGCTCAGGCACACGCGCGCACCCCGGGGCTGCGCCGCCGCGCGGCAGAAGGTGAAGGAGCAGCGCGAGGCGCGCAGCCGCCGCACCGTGGACAGCACCAGCGCGGCCGGACGGCGCCCCCAGCGCGCCCACAGGTACAAGTAGCACAGCGTGATGAGCATGGCCGGAGCCCGCCCGCCACGCTCGCTCCCCGGCCGCCCGGCCGCTCGCACCGGCCGGCGCCAGGCCCCGCCCCGGCCGGAAGCGAGCCTGGGGGGGGGGAGGGGAGGGGAGGGAGGGGTGCAGTGCGCGTGCGCGGCGGGACCGGTGTGCTGCCCAGGGAAAGGAAGCAGCTGCGGGGATGGGAAGAGAGCGAGATGCGATTTTGCATTGAAGGGATGCGGGCTGCGGGGGAGCTGGGGGGGGGGGAGCCAAGACCACGGAGAGGGTGCAGAGAGGGGCTACGGGAATGGCGAAGGGAAGGGAAGGGAAGGGAAGGGAGAAAGAGGGAGAGTGATTGGAAGTGTGCTCTACAGGTGGACTCGAGGCCACACCACTAGAGGGAACTGGGGTTGGTGACCGAAGCTGTGCTGGGAACTCAGAGGGACAGGGGCCTGGAGGAACCGGGGAGATCGCTGGGGGTGGAGCGTTGATGAGGTTGGGGGGTGATGAAGAGAGTTTGAAGAGCGAGGGGAGATGGAAAGGGGGTAGTTTGATGCCGGAGAGTGACTAACTTAATCAAGTCAAAGCCCACCTTACTTCAACAGCCGATAATTGCTATCTACCCATTACAAGTCAGAGAGCTAACACAGCCTCTACCTGGCCCAGATGGAAAAACAGGAGTCCATTTTATTAGATCATGCTGAGCCTTCAGAGTTCATATGATGCTCCAAAAAAGGCAAATGGGGCATTCTCACCACACGTCTGCCGCAGGTTAAACTGTGGGCCGGGTGGGAGAAGGAGACATCAGTTTTCCACTCTCAGTGGCCCTGCCCCGGGGGAATCACAACTCTCCCCCCCCAGTTGAGACCCAGAAGCTTCCTTCCCTGGAGCCTCTCATCCACAATGCCCTGAACAAACCCTGTCCAATGGCTTGCTGCCTGACCCCTGCCGCCTCCATAGGCGGCCTAATTAAGAGCGATCAGGTACACCTCTCCCGTGTCATGCCTAATCCGAGGGTAGGTTTTTTGGGTTTTTTTGTTTTCCAAGTACATTGGCCATGGATCTGTCTGCTCACCCTGGGCGGCGACGGGGCATGCTGTTAATCCCAGCACTCAGGAGGCAGAGGCAGGCGGATCTCTGTGAGTTCTAGACCAGCCTGGACTACCAATCGAGTTCCAGGACAGCCTCCAAAGCCACAGAGAAACCCTGTCTCGAAAAAAAAAAAAAAAAAGGGGGGGGGTGGGTGGGGACACACTCTGACTCAAGAGAAGGAATCTAAAACACAAGTAATCAATAAAGGGTTCAGATCCGGAGTAAACAAAAAAATGCCAAATTGCAAGGCGTGGTCGGGTGGGAAGGAGAGGATAAAAGACACACTAGGCTTAACGAGCACTTCACAGGGGCATTAGAAAACAAAGTCCTGACGAGAACTGGTTTAAACCCATCTGTCCAGCGGTGACCCCCTTTGTAAGCCCCTAAGTTCACTTCTGCCCCTACTGCAGAAGTCATCGTGCTGACTTTACAACCCCTGGCTTTCTTGACCACATTTTCACCAGACAATAGAAGCCACGACTCAGACAAAGGGGATTTAACAGGGAGCTTGACCGGGGTGCAGCGCTTTGGAGACTGAGCCGGGCAGACACCTCTGCACCGTGCAGTGCAGCCGCTGAGAGCAGCCCTACCCTTAGCCCCCGGGGCCCAGGTCACACGATGGGAACCAGAAACCACCTGTCTCCCCTGAGGAGGACAGGACACCGGAGGACCAAGACACCAGCAGGGGCAGGAGGAGGGAAAGCTCCCTGTTCTCGATGCATAAGATCCCTGTGGCGAAAGCTCCCTGGACTCAAAGGGCAGAGGCTCTGGGACCCATGGTGAGCAGCAGCCTCCGCGCCTCCTGACTCAGCTTCCAGCATTCTAAGTCCCGCCTCTAGTCCGATGTTTACGGGAACCGTGGCCCCTCTAACTCAAGTCCTCAGCCTTGGAACTTCGCAAGTAGCCGCACGTAGAGGCGAAGCCTTTTCTAAGAGGTGACTAAGGTAAAATGAAGGCGGGCACATGAGTGGCCGGTAACCCAGTAAGTGTGAACGGCGTCCTTACAAGGGACGTGGGTGTGCAGAGGACACAGAGAGACGTCATCTACATCCAAGGAGAGAAGCCTCAGACAAAACCAACCCCGGCCGCCCCTCCATACGAGACGACCTCAAACCGCCAGGCCTCCTGGGTCAGTCTCTGCCCCGCCCTCCAGCCTGCCCCGCCCTCCAGCCGGATATTCGTGGTCTTCCATAAGGATCCTGCCCCCCCTGCTGGCTTCAGCCCCCTCCACCCCTGCCGCTGTGAAGCTGTCCTGTCCCAGGCTTCGGATGCCACACTGTCACCTCCACAACTCTACACTTGCATAGTCGGTTGGCATCCCGAGGCGGATTGAATATAAGCCAATGCGTTTTCCTCCAACAAGTTACCTCTTAGCCGGGCGGTGGTGGTGCATGCCTTTAATCCCAGCACTCGGGAGGCAGAGGCAGGTGGATCTCTGTGAGTTCGAGGCCGGGCTGGACCGACAGCCTCCAAAACAATACAGAGAAACCCTGTCTCGTAAAACCAAAAAATAAAAAGTTACCTCTTGACCTCTTCTCTCTGTTCTACGCTCATGACAGCACATTCTCTGTTACGCTATCAACCAGAACTTAGTCACTCTGGAGTCCTAACGTCCTCCTGCCCCCCCCAACGTGTGTCCGCAGCAGGAAGTCCTCCTTCCACTCCACTCCCAGAAATGAACGAAACGGCCTCCTTGGCGGTGCCCGCCGCCAGTCCCCACGACCGTGTTACCCAAATAGGCTACATTTGGCTTTCTAGAGGCTCAGCTCGGATCCTGCTGATCCCTTTCCAGAGGCCTGCAGTGCCTGACCTCAGAGAACCCTGGTCTTTCATGCCCGGCGTTCAGGACCATGTACTGCGCCTGCCTAGCCTAATCTCCCATTCATTCTCTTGCTGCTCGCATTCAGCGGCACCCACCACACACCAGGAGCTGCGACAGTCATTTCACACATTCAGGCCTCTCAATGAATGTGTGCTGTGACTCCATGCTGTTTGTCCCCGTGTGCTAGAGCAGCGGTTCTCAACCTGTGGGTCACCGCCCTCTTTGGGTGTTGAAGGACCCATTCGTCGGGATCGCCTATGACCATCAAACACACACACACACACACACACACACACACACGTGTTTACATTATGATAGCAGCAGCAAAATTGCAGTTACGAAGTAGCAATGAAAATGATCCTCTGGAGCCGTGCGTTGGTGGCGCACACCTTTAATCCCAGCACTCGGGAGGCAGAGGCAGGTGGATCTCTGTGAGTTTGAGACCAGCCTGGTCTACAAGATCGAGTTCCAGGACAGGCTCCAAAGCCACAGAGAAACCCTGTCTCGAAAAATCAAAACAAAAAAGAAAATGATCCTCTGGTTGGGGGTCACCGCTGCACAAGGAACTGTGTTACAGGGTCGTGACATCGGCAAGGTTGGGAACCGCTGCTCTAGAGGCTTGGTCCCCAGGGCAGCAGTCATAGGAGGCGCCTCGGTGGAGCATTAAAGACTGAGGCAGCAGCAGGCACGTCCAACCTTCTCACACTGCGGCAGACATTTTCATCTATTGCCCTCACATTGGACGACCGGACAGTCAAGTCACCAGGGAGATAAACCGGACAGTCAGGTCACCAGGGAGATAAAAATGGTATCTCACAATGTTGCCGGTAAGTTTATGATCTTGTGTTGGCCTCCATCCATAGCCGTCCTGGGGCTGTCCTCGGGCTCTAGGGTGGACCTGTCTGTCTAGCAGAACGAGGGTAAGACGAGGGGGATTGGTGTCCCCAGAAGGGATTAGTGTAAAGCCCCCAGGACTCAAGTCAGCTCTCACGGAGTGTGATGTTGCAGAGTAACAGACTGACCCGGGCTGCCCGACCTTGGCCTTCAGACCCCAAATAACTGGGAGCTGAATACACTTCAGTCATGGCCCCAGCATCCAGTAATTTGTCATAACAACAGACAACAGACAGGCACAGGGACACAAGCTACGTGGGAGGTTGAGGTGGAAGGGTCAAGACCAGCCTGGGCGCATAAGGAGACCCCTCCATCACAAAATAAAAAACGAAATAACAGAAAGCTGATATCTCTGCAAAAATGGCTATTACGGCCACCTTCTTGCAGAGGAGAAAAGTGGGATTTGGAATACCTTACCCAGGGTCTCAGAACCAAATGAGGACGCTGAGGTATGGGTTTATGGCTTTCTAGCTCCCCGGGTAAATGCCAGCTGAGGGCAGAGGGTGTGCTGTGCACGGCAAACCACAGAGACGAACCAACAGCCAAGGCTTGCACAGCGGCTCGGGGATAAATGCACTCGGCACACAAGCCGGAAGATCTGAGTTCAGTCCCTGGGACCCATATAAAAAGTCTGTACCGTAAGCTGTCCCCCTGTCCCTCACACACAAGGTGTTGATGCTCACACAATTGCTCACACACTGAGTATATACACATCATCATCACCATCTTCATCACCATCACCATCATCATCATCATTATCATCGTCAAGATCCACAAGGCAATCTTGCAGAAGGTCTGGGGACAGCCTTTCGTATCCAGATCAGAGGAGCTGGGACTGTCGCTAACTTGGGCACACACCCGAAGGATGTGTGTGGGAATTATCAAGGTCACCTGGGGAAACACTTCCCTCTGAAGGTGTGATCTGTGAAGAGATGGCCTGGGATGGCTTTCTGTACAGTGAATGAATATCAGTAATTCATTACCGGCCACAGGAACTCCAGGGAGTGGAAAACTAAAGGCAAAACTTAAAGGGCTCGGCCGGACGGTGGTGGCGCACGCCTTTAGTCCCAGCACTCTGGAGGCAGAGACAGGAGGATCTCTGTGAGTTTGGAAACCAGCCTGATCTACCTAGCGAGTTCCAGGACAGCTTCCAAAACAATACAGAAAAACCCTGTCACCCTGTCTCAAAAAAACAACAAAAAAGATGATGATGATGATAATAGTAATAATGATAGTGTTAACAGTAGTGCTTTTGCAACTCTTTTGTAAGTCTAGCACGATTTCAGAGTAAGTGTTACAGAGTAGCTTTCTCCTTAATTTCACTAGCACTGCTTTTTTTCCTGTTCCTAAGTAGCTGTGTAGCCATAAGCAAGTTACTTCATCTCGCTGGATTCCGGTTTTTCACCTATTAAAAAAACAAAACAAAACAAAACAGGCTGGGCAGTGGTGGTGGCGCACACCTTTAATCCCAGCACTCGGGAGGCAGAGGCAGGTGGATCTCTGTGAGTTCGAGGTCAGCCTGGTCTACAGAGCGAGTTCCAGGACAGCCACAGAGAAACCCTGACTTGGAAAAACAAAATTAAATATACAAATGAAATGAAAGCCGGGCATGCTGACGGATGCAGTCTGTTACCTAGGAGGCTGGGGAGGGAGGATCTGGCATTGGAGATCAGCCTGGGCCACAGAGGTAGACTCTCATCCTCAGCCAGAAAGATGGTTTAATGGGTGAAGAGCTTGAATATTTATTAAAGAGAAGAGATGGGGCAGGAGAGGTGGCTTGGAGATTAAGAACACTCGCTGCTCTTGCAGAGGACCCAGGTTCCAATCCCAGAGTCCACACAGTAGCTCACGACTCTCTGTAACACCAGTTCCGAGGGATCAGCAGGGATCAGCTGGCCTCTGCAGGCCTCTGCAGGCACATGGCACACACATACATGCATTCAGGGGTATACTTTTACACATAAAATAAGAAGCTTTTAAAATAAAGTGAACATTGCTTTAAAAAAAGAAAACCTCCCAAGCTCAATTTTTTTAAAAAGGAGGAAAACAAACTAGAAAGTTTCCAGTTGCCACGCCCCACCCCCCACTCTGACACTCAGATGCCCCCGTACCCCCCACTCTGACACTCAGATGCCCCCTCACACCCCCACTCTGACTCTCAGGTGCCCCCTTACCCCCCCTCTGACTCTCAGATGCCCCCTTAACCCCCACTGACACTCAGATGCCCCCTCACACCGCACTCTGACACTCAGATGCCCCTTTACCCCCACTGACACTCAGATGCCCCCTTACCCCCCCCCCTGACACTCAGTGTCCACACAGCTGCAACATGACTCGGTTTGCTAGGCGGCTCCACATCCCTGGTGTCTTTGCCTGCACCAGTAGGTATTCAACAGAAGTTTCTAGAACTAAAACTCCATTTTTTAAAGTTTTTTTCAGCGAGACAAAACTGGCATCTCTTGTGCCTACTTGGCTACTAGAAAGCAAAGTGCTCACCAAAGTTTCTACACTGCTAGGAAACCGATCTTCCCCCTGCAGAGGACAGAATGCACAGAGGCGAGCGCCTGGGCGGAGGAGAGCCCCATCCGAGCACTCCGAGGGGACCTGGGGTGTGGGGTGAGCAGGACACGCGGCTTCCAGGGGACCCGCCCGCCCCGCGCCCACCTTCCGAGCATGCGGATGGGGCTGGGAAAGGGTGAGCCCCGCGCCCACTCCCTCAACGGGGGCGAGCAGCCCCCACGTTCATAAACAGTGAACGCCCGCCCGGCCCGGGGGCGAGCAGCTGACCCTGCGAGCGAGGCCGGGGACCTGGTGCAGGGGGTTGAGCGAGCTCCCTGCAGCCCGTTTCCAAACAGATTTTACCCCTGGGGCGGGGGGGAAGGGAGATAGTATCCAGACCCGGTCAAGCAAAGCCAAAGGGCCGCGCTGCGAAGAAATTATCCTGCTATAAATAACTCCCCTAGGGGGACAAACAGAAACATCAAAGCCAGGGCACCGAGCGCAGGCTGGGCGAGCCGGCGAGCTCCTGGGGGACAGAAAGGGAGCGTGTCCCCCGCGGGAGCCGCCGGCAGCGGGCAGCACGTACCTCTGAGGCCCGGGCGTCCGCGGCCCCTCGCGGGTGCTCCCGGCCCGTGCCGCCGGCAGCTCCGGGAGCCGGTATCCAGCAGCCAAACGCACGAGAGTGGGGCGGTGCGTCTTCACCAACCACAAAGCAGGTGGCGGCCTCGTGAGCAGGGACGGAGCATGGGAAAGGGCCAGATCCCCGCAGCCCCAGGTCCTGGCCACCGCCAGGCTCAGGCAGTGCCCTCGGGCCACCAGAGCCCCCTGCACACAGGGTGGCTCGCAGAAGTGCGGCCTGTGCCCCAGCAGGGCGAAGAGTCCCCACTTGTCCCTTAGGAGTGCTGGTCAAAATGCCACCCGGCTGTGGAAGCCTGCGGCACCCCACTGGCTCCGCAGTGGATTGCTGCACACCTGTGCCTGCGTGCCCGGGCTGAGAACCCGCTGCGGGAGGACACTGGGGCTGTTTCCCTGGAATGTAATAAACCCTGTAAGAGAAAAGAACGCAAATCCAGCCCCTTTGGAGAAGCTACTCCTCCCGCCTCTCAGCTGGGGGAAGGAGATGCTGAATTTAACTCTTACTCTCCACCTTCCCCTCCTCACCCCAAGTAAGGATGGGGAGGGTCTTGATTCTGACCTCTGAACTCCGGTTCCTTCATTTTCAGGTCAAGAGTTTCAAGAGTCCTCCCACCCCTTGTTTCCAGACTCCAGAATTGTGTGACTTGTGTGTGTGCTACAGCTGCTGGGCGTTGGACCTAGAGTCTCAGGCACCCTAGGAACACTGCTGCTGCTGCTACTTCTACTACTACTACAAACACACACACACACACTCACACACCATTCTCACACACACACTCGCACACACCTCTTTATATTATTATTTTTGGACAGGGTCTTAGGTTGGCTAAGCCAGCCGTGAACTTCCACTGACCCTCCTGCCTCAGCCTCGCCGTTAGCTGAAATTACACAACTGTGAGCCAGACTGTGTTACAGCACACCCCTCATTCTGGGCGTGGCACAGACTGGCACCTGACATTGACTAAAACCCCCTCCCTGGTGGGGAAATGAGACAAGGAAGCACGCCGACCTCCAGGGCCCTGCTTGTGGATGATTTGCACAGTCACCCTATGCTCAAGGGAAGTCTCCGTGACTCCTGTCCCTGCTGGGGCCGGGGGCCGCTGAAGTTCAGGGGTGACCGGAATCCTCATCCTCCAATCACACAGCGTCCGGTGGCTACAAACGTCCTCCACCCCAGGGTTCTGCGGTTTGCCCCACCATTCTCCAGTGCTTGCCGGTCACTCCCAGTGCCGAAGGGACCGCCCTCCTCACACCCACTTAGAATGCACCCTTGCTAATGTCGGTGGGTTTTGTGTGAGTGCACACCACTGCAGGCACTGTGGAAATCAGTATGGCGAGTCCTGAAAGCAACAAAAATAGAAGAGATTGGCCACATGACCCAGCATAGCCCAGGACTCTATGTCATGCTCTGTGGACTCAGGAGGACTCCGGGGAGGGAGAGTAGAATATGGTGAATTATATGGAGGGGAGGACTCTGGGGAGGGAGAGTAGAATATGGTGAATTATATGGAGGGGAGGACTCTGGGGAGGGAGGTTTAGCTAGAGAGGGATGGAGGGATGAGGCTGAGGAGGAGACAGGGGAACGGAAAACTAACACTAAGAATATTTGGAAAACCCTGGTGGAAACATTATTTTATGTGTATTCGTCACTTCTCTGTTGCTGTGATAAACATCAGGTCTTCAACTGCAAGCTAGAAGCAGGTGGTGACCTGGATTTGGGGTGAGGATATGAAGTCTCAAAGACCGACTCCAGGGAGGGGGCGCTCTTCCTCCAGCAAGACCACATTTTTTAAACCTCCCAAAACAGCGCCACCAGCTGGGTACCACGCGTTTAAATACATGAGCCTGTGAGGGACATTTCTCATTCAAACCACCACAGTAAGCTTTGTGTGTGTGTGTGTATGTGTGTGTGTGTGTGTGTGTGTGTTCCTCCTGAAGCCATAAGTCAGATATGGGACAATGGGACACCTCCCTTTGAGTTGTTGGTCGGGAGTGTTTCAGAACCCCCCCAAAATAACACGAGCTACTGCTGTTCTTGATAGACCCTCAGCTCTCCCGGCGGTAAGATCCTATTGCTGAAGACGATGCATATAGTGGTCACCAGACATGGAGAAATCACGTTAGTATTGACCAGTGAGTTTACTCCTGCTAGCTAGCTTTCATCGAGCTACTGTGTAGGCTGTGGTGATATTTTGTTTATGATCTAACAAACAAAGCTTGCCTGAAGATCAGAGTGCAGAGCTAACCACTAGTCAGCCAGAGGCCAGGCAGTGGTGGCTCCCACCTTTAATCCCAGTACTTGGGAGGTGGAGACAGGAAGGGACATAGCTGAGTGGAGAGAGGAATGTTATATAATGCAGGAGGACAGGAGCTCATTGCAGCCTGAGGAGCAGTCAGTCTGAGGATGCAGTCTGAGGACAGGATCGCCCCTTGGGTCTCAGCATTGGTAGAGAGGGGTAAGAACTCTAGTGGCTGGCCACTCTGCTTCTCTGATCCTTCAGCTTTAACCCCCGGCTAGCTGACTGCGTTTTTATTATTAAGATCAAAGAGAATCCATGCTATATTAGGCTGCGTAGGGGAAATTCACGAATAATCATCCCAGCTTCAAACCCTGTAATTTGTAATGATGAGCAGCAAGGCAAGATACGCCCATGCATGAACTGTTGGCTCACATGCTACGAAGATAATTAACCACTTTATGACTGGATTTAAGCCACTCTCCGTGGGAGGAAATCCGTGCGTGGTACTGTGGGTCTGGCCACAAAGCTGTGGTTGAGAGCTCATAAGCCCCAGGAGTGAAGCTCTTGCTGTTATTCTGCTGAACGGAAATAGCATCAAACCACCCTCCAAACTCTTACTCTGCACCCATGGGTTAGAGCAGCTCCCCGACCTCAGAGAGGCTGCCTCCTGCAGGTGCACAGCCATCAACACAGAAGCCACAAGTGGTCAATGCGCAGAGAGTAAGTGCGGTGGAGGGCTCTGCCTGTGTGCTGTGCACTGCATTATACGCTCACAATGCTCACACACACTCGCACACTTGCTGTCACACACATACACACTCTTACACTTGCTCTCACACTCACACGCTCATTCTCACACTCACACACTTTCACACTCACACATGCTCTCACATACTCACACTCTCACACTCGCTCTCACACACATACTCACACACTCACACACATTCACACTCACTCACATTCACTCACACACTCGTACACTCACACACTTGCTGTCACACACAAACTCACACACACTCTTACACTTGCTCTCACATTCACACACTCATTCTCACACTCACACACTCACACATGCTCTCACATACTCACACATGCTGTCACACACTCACACTCGCTCTCACACACACATAACTCACACACTCACTCTCACACATTGACACTTACTCACATTCACTCACACACACTCTCACACTCACTCTCACACACCCCTGAAGTGTAATCACAATTAAATACAATTAAGATAGCAATAAAACACCTTCGAGGGGCTGGGAAGTTGCTCAGCAGTTAAAGGCACGGCCTGCTTTTGCAGACGACCCAGGTTCAATTCCCAGCCCATACATGGTGGCTCCGGTTCCAGGGCATCTTCTGGCCTCTGCGGGCCCACAGACATGTATGCAGGCAGAACACCGCAACACATAAAATAGAAATAAATAAATCTTTGAAAAGCAAACAAGCTGCAACTCTCCAGGCAAACCTGGAGTACTTGGAATCGGCAGCCAATGAATGTGGCGTAGATTTTGAATTTACATGGTGGAAGGACAAATGTGCGCATGCTTCTGACAGCACATGTTCACACGGAGGCAGCACTAAACTCTTCCAAGTACCGGCGTTGACCCACATTCCCACTATCAGTGATTTTCGTTTTCAACTCAGTATTTTTAGGTCTTTTCCCCACCCCTGTGACTTTTAGACGTCTCCTGATTTACACAGCTGCTTTTCTCTGCACGCAAAGCTCCACACGGTGGTGCCTGGGAAAATCTCCCCGTGGCAACGCACCAGCTAATTACAAACACCTCATTGTCCAAGCTGTAAATGTAGGTCAGGGCAGGCCCTGGGATAAGGGCAGGGACTTTATTAACCTGGAGAATCTGATGTAAGTTGGGGGTGAGGCCTTCCTAGCAATTCAAGGCCCCCTTTGCACAAAGCACGAACCTGTGTACAGAGAGGACAGCTGCGGTACAGGGAGCACTGCTGTGTGGTACAGGGAGCACGGTTATGTGAGTGCTCTGCTCTGTCTCCGATGTGTCTAACCATCTCATGATGGGGGACATCCTTCCATATGTGTTTCTCTTATTGGTTGGTGGATAAAACACTGATTGGCCGGCAGAGGCAGGAAGTATAGGGGGGCTAGGAGAGGAGGAGAATACTGGGAAGAGAGGCAGAGTGGCACCCTGTAAGGAGACGCCATGTAGAGATCGGGAGCATAGGACATGCCAGGCATTCTCTAGCAAGGTAAGGTCATGTAGAAATGACATAGATTAGTAGTTATGGGTTGGTAATTGAGACAGCTAGCCAATAAGGAGCCCTAGCCATCGGCCAACAGTTATAAATTAATGTTATGTCTCCATGTGTTTCTTTGGGGGCAAAGCGGCTGTGGGACCGGGCTGGAGAGAAACTCTAGCTACAGTCTTGCATTTAAATCAGCCCTTCTCCTTACAGACCATAATATTTATGCTTCTGTATTTGATATTCACAATCTAGGCATTTACCTTAGACATGGTAACACAGGAAGGAGAATAATAATTTACTGATTGATTTTTTTTTTTTTTTTGGTTTTTCGAGACAGGGTTTCTCTGTGGCTTTGGAGGCTGTCCTGCAACTCGCTTGGTAGTCCAGGCTGGTCTCGAACTTACAGAGATACTGATTGATTTTTAAAAGAGTCTTTCTTTGCAGATTTGGCATTCCTGGCACTCTCTTTGTAGACCAGGGTGGCCTTGAACTCACAGAGATCCGCCTGGTGTGCCACTACCGCCCAGCTGAGGGCAATGTTCTGAGTTGGGGATTTTTGTGTGTTCACCATTGGGAATGTGTTCTGCAGATGCTGTGCGTCCTACAGAGGCGTCCAGAGTGATCTGAGATTAAACTGCAGAGATCATGACCCATCGTCCACAAGCATTCGGGGTGCATTTCCTAAGAACGTTCCTCTTACTCAATCACGCTGCAGCGACTGAATTCAGATTTGCATTACCCCACAGCTAACATCTGCCAGATGTAAGATTTTCCCAAGAGTATGAGATTGTATCAGCTGTGGCTTGGATGTGTTTCTCACCCACCAAGTCATGTTGTTAATGCTCACTTGGGCCTTGGGGATGTGGGACTTCAGGGGAGGCGTGTTAGGACATGAAGACTGCAAAGA